CGATTTTTTTCAACAAATAATCCCAGAAATCGGCGATTACTTGTTAGTGACAAAAAGCTCATCTTTGAGCGTTTATAGGCAATTAATGACCATTGGGATGATTGGTACCTAAATAATAATACAATATAATATAATTATTATTAAATTAGTTTTATTACTTATTAATATTAAAAAACATAAAAACTTCAGTTTTTGTCTAAAATTCAACTATATTAAAAAAATTCATCGTTGTATTGTTTTCAAATAGAAAAAAAGAACACGAAACTCATCAACATGTTCTTAGGGACACTCACTAAACCTATCAATAAGATTGAAAGTAACGGTTTGGTCGAGTCAAAATTAGAATTGTCTGCGTTATGGAGGACATTGGTACTTATATGGATAAACTGTTTATGTTTTCAAAATTTCAACAATATTGTCATTTTTGTAAAATGTATATGTAACACGATCATTGCTGAGGTAAATATTAATAATAATTTATTTTACTGTAATTTTTTTTAAAAATATGTCTGATGTTTTCAGTCATCCAGACACGCAGAAGGGAATTCTACGTTTCAAGGTGAACCAGCGGAGAACATACACAAGATTAATGACGTTCTAGACATCATAAGTTATTTCAAGTAAACCAAATTAATAGTTACTATGTTAATAATATTAATGTATTATGTAGGTAAATTATGTATGCTGCGGTAATATATAATCTTAAAATGTTTTTTTCACAGAAATCAATTCAAAATTGTTCAAATGGAATATTTTTCTGAAAAATTTGAAAAATTCAAATTGAAAAATCCTGTATTACGCAATTTGAAACCACGTTATTGGAACTTTCGTACTTGTGATTTGTTTGAAAGGCTCGACGCATTTGAGGAGAGGTTAAATTGCCTCAAGGTGAGTGAGAAATTATACCAAGTACCCCTTGGGAATTCTATACTTGTACGTACTGATTTTAAAAGTTAAGATGCATAATATTATATAATTCAATCAGAAATAGTAAAACATGGTTATTCTTTCACATTTTAGTATATAGTTAAATGGTTAAACATTCTATTTTTTAAATCCATAGTAAAAATAAAATATTTATAAAATATTATAATTTAATAGTATTACTCCTATCTTCTAGTCAACTATATGAAAACTATAATCATTTTTCAAGTAGGTATTTATAGTTTAGGTATTATTTGTACTGCAGTTTTTTTATAAACAAAATAAATTTTGTCGACGATTCAAAAGTTTTATTCCTATTATATACACCGTACTTTGTGTTGTACGATGTTTCACCGTTTTCGTGTTCATTAATAACTTTGTTCCAATCTTATTTATTATATTATACATGATTTTTGAATCGTATTACTGCATTGACTATGGTACATGTATACATAAGTAGGTACATCGTAATATTCAATACAATTAAAGTTTCAATAATATTATATTATTTGCAAAAATCAATTTCCCACATATTATAATTACCTGTATAAAAATGTAGTATCTATACTTACGATATATTTATTTTTATTCTATACATTTCAGTCTATGCTGCTTAACTTTATCGATTATCAAAAATTAGAAAAAATCGAAGTGAGTGGACTCATGAGCCGTATGTATACGCCAATGCTCGAACGCGTGTTTCTTAGGTATTCAAAGTACCTAGAGTTAATGAGTTCCATTGCGTATGATCCATTGGACCTGTTTAACGAAGAGCCAAATAAATTATTTCGGGAGAATCATAATTACTATGTAAACTTATCAAATGATATTGACCATCGTTTAGCCACCCTGGCCAAATCATGTTACGAAAACAGTAACGATTTAATGACACTTCATAAGGTATACTTCCTATATCTTTCTATATTTATGTAGATGTTTTTATGTGTACAAAATATTACGTTGACAGTCGATTTGCGTACATTAACCTGAGGTGCAAGGGCGCGACCCGTTTCACCCATATTAGATCTTTACCATTTCGCCCAAATACCCGTTTCGTCCAAATACATTTTAATAATTTTAAAATTAGGTTGGCAATGGTTTTTTAATAATAATGAAATTATAATATTAAAAATTATTTAAAAAATCATTACAAAATAGAAATTATAATTTTTTTAAATGTCTATACATGCTTTTTACACTCATACCAAGTTATTTTTCAGATCTAAATATGTATATAAATGTATAAGATTTGAACTATATCCTTGTCGTTCTCTTATTTTTTTTGTCTTATTTTTAGTGGAGGGGGAGAAAATTTCAACGCTACAAATTTGTATAATATAATAAAAAACTAATTTCTCATATACATTTTTAAATAATTTTCTATTTATTTTAATTATTATCATTATTCAAAAACAATTACCAACTTGATTTTAAAATGTTTTTTGGCGAAATGGGAAAGGTCAAATTTGGACAAAACGGGTCCCATCCGGGACCCGTTATTATATATACCCGTTAATGGTTGGTTTATAATATGCACGTACTGTGACTATTTTCAGTTCTTATTGGTGTTCGGTGTGGACTTGTTGGAAAAACCGATCATAGCAGATTCCGTGAAAGAACACAAAGAAAAAATATTGAGCCTGCTGGAAACAGAATTGACCTATCAGTTGGTGAGCCATCTCTTATTTTTGGTATTTAAAATATAGGTACGATGTTTTAACCAAAACCGTATTTGCCGTGGTTACTTGATTTATAGAAAATCCTGGATTCGATGACCAGAACAAAGCTCACTAGTGAAGTTGATAGGAATGACTATTATGAGTCACGTTTCATACCCGAAAAAATGGACCTACGGTATCCGCCGGTGGCCAGGATAATAATATGGGGCCACTCGCAGAAAAATCGGTTAATGGAAAATGTCCTCTCAACACGGAGTTTAGAACTACCGTAAGCACATCATTATCTCGGTATTTTGGTTTTTTCGGTCAAAATAGAGCTGGTACTGGAGATATACCTGGTATATGTTACTAGCAATGTGAACGTGCCCGTGCAATGTGAACGGCAGATATAATACTAAAAATATAATGGTCTAATACTTATCTACATGTATATAGGTTGCCCCAAGAAGATATACCCCTTGAAAACCGATGTTAGTTAGGGAATAAGCTAATGGTGTTCCGCGATAACATAGGTTTTCACACGGATTAGTAGAAATTTAAACGGTTGTTACTTTGAAACTATTCATCGGATAAAAATGTGTGATACATTAAAATTTTCATTAAATAATAAAATACATTTATTTTTAAATTGTTTACTAAAAAATAAATTTGATGCAAATATAAATATTTGCAGCCCTCATCCCTGTGAGTAGTATAAAAAAAAAAAAACAGAATTTGATTATCTTTATTATCTAAGGAGATATTCAAGGGGTACAAGGGGTATTCAGACTGTACTGTTACGATAAAAGTAATAATACCGGTAAAACCTATGATTTATCGGTAAATCCTAGGTTTTATTTTTAATTAATTAATTATATTATTTTAGTTTAATTTTTTTTTATTTGTGTGCAACTTTTCTATCTGAAATCGCGCTCTAATTTTTAAGTGTAGCAATGTTTTTAAAAAGAAAAGTGTTGGGAGGTACTTTAGAGAGGTAATCGATTTTCTCAAGAAATTTTTCATCAAATGAGAAAAACCGAAATAGCAGAGGAATAACGAGAAAATTTACGAAATAAAATGTAGATATTGGTTAAAAATATTACGCCCTTCTTTTTTCCTGTGAACAAATTTTCTACCAGCAAATTTGCTCCAATTTATAATGATAGCACTTTTTCTGAAATGAAATCTAACAGGAAAAGTACTTTAAGGAGGTAATTTTTCGATTTTTCCAAAAGCTTTCCCAGAAAATGTTTTTCAAATTTTTCACCAGGAAAAACATGAGAAAACTGAGAAATACGATAAGATCGGTAAAACATTAAATAAATATTATTAAAGAAAATATATAATACCTACTTAATTATTTTACTATGATATGATATATTTATTGTTGACGAAGCATCACTATCAACTGAACTCCGCTCAGAATCGTTTTTTCGTTAGCAATGGTTTATCGTTACTTCCAGGTATATATTAAATTATTTATAACAGTAGCTGCACNATCCACCTCCTATTTGATGAACAACTTCCTGAAAAGCTTTTATAAGATTTTTTACTTCAACATCTACATTTTGACGATAGGTTTTTAAGACACCTACTAAGAGTTTTTTTAAGCGACCTGCACATGTGAAAACGTTCAAAATTTTGCCTGTAGTGCATTAACAATAGGCTCTAATAAAGAATAATTTTATTTTTATATGTACACAAAGTATACACGTATTTTAAACCTATGTAACCTAAACTAACCGAATGTTTTAAACTAGCAGAGTTATTTCCATGATAAGTATGAAAAAAACAAATTGTATTTAAGCACGTGAAATATTCGCGTCTATTCCTTCTCCAATTTAAAATTTCGTTAAAATGTTATATTTTTTAGTTAATAACAGAAAGGGGCACTTTCCCCTACACTGGTTACGTTCTTAAATCCATACATAAATAGGTACCTATAATAGATATGCTATTATGTTTACAAATTAGATTTAGTGTATCCGGTTGAAAACGAAAATGTTTTATACGGAGAAGAAGTAGAAAACGAACAACAGCCTCTGCTTACAAAAATAGAAGCAACAATTAAAGCTATTCATAGTTTGACTAAGAGCGTTTACGAACGTTTAATGCAAATTAAAGACAACTTTAAAAAAATAAAAATACTGAGCAGTCAATGGGAAAATACACCAATGTATGTGCGTGAGAAGACCACGAAGCTTATAATGCTTGGCGACCGATTGACCTACTTCAAAACCAATAGGTACAAGGAAATAGATAATGCTAGTTCGAAGATACACCAATTGCTCAAGGAAGACCTTTTGCTGTTTCACAATGTACCTTTAGTGGACCCAAATCGGGGTAAATTATAAATTGGCTAATAAGGTCGATTTGCTGTTGACATATAATATTGGTTTTTTCATACAATAATAATAAATACGTTGAGAATACAATCCCAGAATTTTGGAATTAATTGGAACCAATCCCAGGATCTTCATAATAATCCAGGGATTTAACGGGACCACGAGATTGTATTCTTTAAATTCTGTCTTGTATTATACAATATATACCGTGCATATTAAAATTTTTTTTTTATTGTGCTACACATTTTAGAATATGATTACAACGATGAAATGGATGTCGAAATTGAAGAAGAAGTAGAAGAGGAAAGTGTAAAACCGAAGCTGTTAGAAGAAGAGCAAGAAGAAATAATAGACTCTGTTTTAGGAGAATCTGTCAACGAAACGGAGTCTGTTTATTTAAATGAAGAAGAAAATGCAGAGGAAGAAGAAAAACAGCTGTTAAACGACGATCAAGACGAAGAAATGATGTTTGATGAAATGGGGGAAGAAGAAATAAAATTGAATTACATTGATACTCAGGTAGAAATAATATTATCAGACCTAGGAAGAAAATTATTATGGGAAGAATATAAAAAATATGTCGACGATGCAGTTTTTGTGTGTTTACAAAATGCTATTCTAATCAGGTAATTGACAAAACTATAAAAAAAACATAATAAAATATTAAAGTACTTCAAAATATGCACCAGTGCGTGTACAAGAAATTAACTTTCAAAACTTTAAATAGATTAGGCTGGGCTAATATTGTGAGGAATATGGTCTAAACACTTTAAATAATACATATATTTACAATATCTCTGCATTTACTCGTATATAAAAAAACACTTCCAATATGTTTGTCCTAGATGATCTGGTATGCTTTTTCTGTTTTAGATTCGGAACGTGGCGAGGAATATATTAACTTTATAATGATGTTTATTTATATTTTTTTTCTTTTAACTGTGAACAACTTTTCTACCAGAAATCTTGCTCCGATTTTCAAGTGTAGAACCTCTTTTGAAAGAAAATTTAATCTCGGTGGTCTATTGAGAAAGTAATTTCTTTTGGTTTTCCAAGCCCTTGGAAGCCTTTTCCCGATAGAAAAAACCGTAAAAACCAGGAAAAACTGAGGAATGTACGTACTTATAAAAAAAAACTTCGCTCCCAATCGTTTTTTGTTAGCAATTGTTTATCGTTGCGTACAGATATAAATTAAATTCTCCTTTATATCCTTCCTTCCCAACTTCTTATCTACAGTGGGCCACCTATTATGCCAAGTATGCCCGTCTTTTTATAATTAATTTTTCAAATAAAGGACAATTTTATAGATTCAATTAAATACATTTTATAGATCCATAATGTTTAATTATTTTCGTATTGTTATTAATATTAGAGGCGTATAGGAACTAAACTATACGCCAATAAATTTACCTATTGCAATTAATGTTTGATAAATACTTAAGCTAATGTTTTATTTATGTTTAGTCTAAAGTATATTCATCAAGACTTAAAAAATGTACAAGAATGTACTGCAATATTTATGGCTATGTACGTTCTCAATGAAAAGGGTCCAATTTTTTCGCCCGATTTCAATATTAATAATAGTCCTAATTTCTATGGAATTATTGATTCCTTGCTTGAGGACATAGTTGAAATGGGATTGCACATGAAAAGAATTGCTGAAGATTATCCACCGTACAATGTATGTATATTAGTAATTATATTGTTAAATTAATTATTTACTTATGATAAAAAAAAAAAAAATGTATTGTGAATTTCACATTACAGGTAGATATTAGAGAAATAGGCGAAATAAAGGAATCGATATATTCCATACTTACCCAAGTAAAAATTACAATTACAAAAGTAAGATTTAAGTATAATAGCTATTTATAAAATATACTTAGTATAGAGGTATTATTGTAATTGGTGGTTTCCCATCACTAGTTTTCCCATAATTAATTTGAAGTCTATCTATACACACATTGCCTAATAAAAAAACACCTTTTACATATAATACCTATATTTATTTGTTTGGCATTGTTGATTAAATAATTAAATCTGTTATATTTAGGCCCTTGACTATATCGCTCAGTATAAAACTTACTCTTCGGTATGGCTTACTGATAAAAACGACGCATTGTCATTGTTTTTAACATATGGCAAAGATCTGACCGATGATGAAATGAATCTACGTTTTGAAATAGACAAAGAAGGAAATCTAGT